TTATTCTTTGTGTATCTGCCCCTGGCCAAATTAAGGAAACAATGCGTGCACGCTCCCTGAAGTAATTCACACCAGACACAGGTTTCAGGTTGTTGAATAACTTGAGGAATGTTTATTCAGAGGGGATGCCAGATCCCTTTTAAAGCAAAATTACATCATAAGCATTGTCAGAGATAACATGAAATAATACATCAATAATTGGTTAGGTGTTAAGTGGTCTTCTTAGTGCTCTGCCTACTAAAGGTGATGTCACTGGAACCATGAGGGTCTCCCACGGATTCCAGCGCCATCTTGTTGCACTAGGTAGTTAGTCGGTGTTATAGGGAGGGAGGGGTTAGAAGCTTCTAGCAGCCATTTTGTCTAAATATGCGTGTATAGCTTATATACTGATTTTAGTGAGATGAGTAAATAGACATTTTACTAACTAGAAAATATATCAATATCTTATTTCCACAACATACATAGAGTGGTATGGATGTTGAATTTATATCTTTGACATCTTTTAACTAGCTTGCAATAGGTGACCTAAATGATCAATATCCAAAATCATCATGTATATTCACCTGGACTGGTTAATCCATAATACTCTTTTACTTTCCATTGACTGGCCTTAGCTCTGGCAGACTGAACATGTTTATCATTATAAATATAGGTTTGTGATAAGTAAAGTTTCTGCCTGTCTTTCAGTTAAATTTTAACTGTTGAAGTACTTCACTTATATTAATTATACCACTCTGCAAACTTAAAGAATATCGAGTAGTTTCTGATTCAATAAAAAAAAAAAAAAAATTTTCTTTTAAGGTTAAAGGACCACTATAGTGCCAGGAAAACATGCTCGTTTTCCTGGCACTATAGTGCCCTGAGGGTGCCCCCACCCTCAGGGACCCCCTCCCGCCCGGCTCTGGAAGGGGGAAAGGGGTTAAAACTTACCTTTTTCCAGCGCTGGGCGGAGAGCTCTCCTCCTCCTCCTCCTCCTGGGCTGAATGCGCACGCGCGGCAAGAGCTGCGCGCGCATTCAGCCGGTCGCATAGGAAAGCATTCATAATGCTTTCCTATGGACGCTGGCGTGCTCTCACTGTGAAAATCACAGTGAGAAGCACGCAAGCGCCTCTAGTGGCTGTCAATGAGACAGCCACTAGAGGAAATAGGGGAAGGCTTAACCCATTCATAAACATAGCAGTTTCTCTGAAACTGCTATGTTTAGAAAAAAATGGGTTAACCCTAGAAGGACCTGGCACCCAGACCACTTCATTAAGCTGAAGTGGTCTGGGTGCCTAGAGTGGTCCTTTAAAACATTATTCATTATTTCAGTTGTTATTGTAATCATATGATCTTTAACTATCATGATTAAATTATGTTAAAATCAGATAATCTGCCCACTGCTTGGATTTAATCTACAAGAAATTGCCCAGTAGATATAAGGCAATCCGCATTGCTTAGCTATTTCCTTTAGCTGGTGCAGAAATATGATTTTCAGTGAAAAATGTGTAACATTTCATATGGTGTCTCACCATTTGTATCATCAGGTATGTTGTGAATGCTCATCTGTACCATAGGAATAAATAGATACCACTGTGTGGGGCAAGCAACTAGTAACTTGGTTAATAATCATTTAACCTCAGCATTTTCCCAGACCACAACCCCACTTCTTTGGGGGTGGTTGGGGCACTGAAATCCCAAAGTAACCCAAATGTGGTTGCCCAGTTTTAGGTTTGCTTTGCAGTAACTGCAGGACCACCATCCAAATGGATGGTCCTGGGATTACCAAATGCATACTAAGGAAGTGAGACTAGAAAACGTGGTATCAGAGGTTGCACTTCGCACAGGATATATACAAGTAAACCTGGTAGATGCATCAACACATACAAAAACATATTTATAACCATGAGATGTTGGCAACGTTCCAATATATAGTAATTCAAAAAGTATGTTAGATATTAATATTTCAATAAACAGTACATCAGTAATGTGGCGTTCGATTACTAAACACATGAATTACAGGGAGTGCAGAATTATTAGGCAAGTTGTATTTTTGAGGATTAATTTTATTATTGAACAACAACCATGTTCTCAATGAACCCAAAAAACTCATTAATATGAAAGCTGAATATTTTTGGAAGTAGTTTTTAGTTTGTTTTTAGTTTTAGCTATGTTAGGGGGATATCTGTGTGTGCAGGTGACTATTACTGTGCATAATTATTAGGCAACTTAACAAAAAACAAATATATACCATTTCAATTATTTATTATTACCAGTGAAACCAATATAACATCTCAGCATTCACAAATATACATTTCTGACATTCAAAAACAAAACAAAAACAAATCAGTGACCAATATAGCCACCTTTCTTTGCAAGGACACTCAAAAGCCTGCCATCCATAGATTCTGTCAGTGTTTTGATCTGTTCACCATCAACATTGCGTGCAGCAGCAACCACAGCCTCCCAGACACTGTTCAGAGAGGTGTACTGTTTTCCCTCCTTGTAAATCTCACATTTGATGATGGACCACAGGTTCTCAATGGGTTCAGATCAGGTGAACAAGGAGGCTATGTCATTAGATTTTCTTCTTTTATACCCTTTCTTGCCAGCCACGCTGTGGAGTACTTGGACGCGTGTGATGGAGCATTGTCCTGCACGAAAATCATGTTTTTTCTTGAAGGATGCAGACTTCTTCCTGTACCACTGCTTGAAGAAGGTGTCTTCCAGGAACTGGCAGTAGGACTGGGAGTTGAGCTTGACTCCATCCTCAACCCGAAAAGGCCCCACAAGCTCATCTTTGATGATACCAGCCCAAACCGGTACTCCACCTCCACCTTGCTGGCGTCTGAGTCGGACTGGAGCTCTCTGCCCTTTACCAATCCAGCCACGGGCCTATCCATCTGGCCCATCAAGACTCACTCTCATTTCATCAGTCCATAAAACCTTAGAAAAATCAGTCTTGAGATATTTCTTGGCCAGTCTTGACGTTTCAGCTTGTGTGTCTTGTTCAGTGGTGGTCGTCTTTCAGCCTTTCTTACCTTGGCCATGTCTCTGAGTATTGCACACCTTGTGCTTTTGGGCACTCCAGTGATGTTGCAGCTCTGAAATATGGCCAAACTGGTGGCAAGTGGCATCGTGGCAGCTGCACGCTTGACTTTTCTCAGTTCATGGGCAGTTATTTTGCGCCTTGGTTTTTCCACACGCTTCTTGCGACCCTGTTGACTATTTTGAATGAAACGCTTGATTGTTCGATGATCACGCTTCAGAAGCTTTGCAATTTTAAGAGTGCTGCATCCTTCTGCAAGATATCTCACTATTTTTGACTTTTCTGAGCCTGTCAAGTCCTTCTTTTGACCCATTTTGCCAAAGGAAAGGAAGTTGCCTAATAATTATGCACACCTGATATAGGGTGTTGATGTCATTAGACCACACCCCTTCTCATTACAGAGATGCACATCACCTAATATGCTTAATTGGTAGTAGGCTTTCGAGCCTATACAGCTTGGAGTAAGACAACATGCATAAAGAGGATGATGTGGTCAAAATACTCATTTGCCTAATAATTCTGCACTCCCTGTACAGTATTTCCCATATTGGGCCACCAATATTCATTTTCAGGAGTCAGAAGTACATTACCTCTCTATATAAGAGCTTGCCCTAGCCATGAATAAGCTTTTAGGGAAAGTCTCTCTTTCCTCTATAGGAAGAACAACCAACTTATTAAGTTCAATGGTTGTTATGTAATTAACCCCTCTAAACGATATGAGTATTTATGCGGATACCAGGTGGATAAGGTCTGGATATCCTTGCAAGCATAAACTCTGCATCATGACTGAGAGATAGGGTATGCTTATGTGATCCAGTGACCACAGAAAAGCGTTGGTAGACACATTGCATCAAAGTGCCTGTTAATGACCAACTACATGAGGAGAGGGACCAAGCTTTGTTATAAGCATGTCCATACACGTATTACAATGCCAGGCTTTCAATTTGTTACCACAAAGCAAAATGCAGTTGTGGATATAAACTCACGACGTATCGTAAGAAAAACGGTTTGAACACGAGACCGCGTCTCTAGGTCAGTGGACCAAGAAATATAAATTAAATCCTATCAATTAATATACTTCAATATACTTTCTTTAAATTACTTTAATATTTCATAGTTAATACAGAGGATAAAGTTAAAACTATAATGTGAAGAAATCCCTATTTATTCACTCGGTAGATTTAACTATCGAACAAAGATCACCCCTCTGGCTCATTAAGCTTCAAAGAATTCGTCAATCAACCCCTCTATCTGTGCGGCCAGCATTCGTACTACCGAACACCACGTGGCTGAGAAAACCACGGCCATCTTTTTTCAGCCGAACAAAGGCAGCGGGACTTGGTCGTCGAGTGTCTGGAACTAAAATCGGACACTCTACTTCCCGAACACCGGTCTCCAACAGACGAACCCTGGAACTAAAATTCCCGAATAGCTAGAAGAGCGCTATTCGGTACTTTGGTGCATTCGACAGAGGTGAACAATCGCTGATGAGAGCCAGGGGGATCCATTCGGTACTTTATTTTGTTTTTTCCCTTTTACTGAAGTGACCAGCAAAACCCACCAAACTCATGGAACTATTTTGGGCAGCCAGCCCACGGTGAGCCGGTCACAGAAGACTTCCACATTTTTTGAGAACCCCTGAACCGATCAGGGTGAAATTTGAATATGTTGGTCACCTAGATCGGGCTATACATTTTATTTGTGGGGATACCTCAGGTATAAAGGGGTGTTCCAGATATTGGGGAAAAATTTGATTTTTCTTCCTGGAGATAATCAAGTTATTACTTTATCAGACTTGATTATCTCCAGGGCTAGGGGGAGGGAATTGTACGTGTGTGCTGGGTGTGTTTTATGTTTTTACTGTAGCCGATTGGTTAATCTCTGTCCCTCCCTGTGGGATGTCCCCTTGCATGGGGACTTGCATAAAAGCCTGTGTTCTTCTTGACTTCGGCTAGCCACGCCTCCCCTGACTATGATTGACAGAGCCTGCAAGGAAAAACAAAACTGGTTTCACTTTCAAACAGATGTAATTTACCTTAAATAATTGTATCTCAATCTCTAAATTGAACTTTAATCACATACAGGAGGCTCTTGCAGGGCCTAGTGAGCTATTAACATAGCAGGGGATAAGAAAATCTTAATTAAAAAGAACTTGCAATAAAGAAAGCCTAAATAGGGCTCTCTTTACAGGAAGTGTTTATGGAAGGCTGTGCAAGTCACATGCAGGGAGGTGTGACTAGGGTTGATAAACAAAGGGATTTAACTCCTAAATGGCAGAGGATTGAGCAGAGAGGCTGCAGGGGCATGTTCTAGACACCAAAACTGCTTCATTAAGTTAAGTTGTTCAGGTGACTATAATGTCCCTTTAAATATCCTTTATATGTCTTTAAGGCATAAATTATCTGCAAATTAATATTACATACAAAAATGCATGTTATGGGTGTTCCCATGATTAATTTTCTATCATTTATTTTATTTTTTTTAAAAGTCTGGAATCCGATACCTTTGGGATGAGCACCCCTCTCAGTCCCCAGTTTCAGAGGCTTCTTTGGAGGTGACCACGGAAAAGTATAGATTCTATAAAATAGATGTGAGAGGGCTTTGGACAGTAATGTCACTTTAATTATACTTTTCATATAGCAGATATGTGATATGCAATGTGATTTAATTTATCAGTGCATTATCACTTTGACACTGCAATTTTTTTATGCATTATTCTTTATGCATTATTTTTCTTTTTTCTTAAATTTTAATGTCTGTTTAGAATATTGCAGGCTCTGCAATATCAAATAAATTTTGCATTATTATATTTACATATTATTAAAATTAGCCTATTTCAGCAGTAGCACTGTGACAGACCGCTGGCACACACGACTGAGTACCTCCGCCAATCTATGCTCCTAGCGCTTGCCGAGGACTCAGAGCACGCCAACCGACACCATCAGCACTGCGGACCCCACTTCCAGTGATGCAGCTGCGCAGGGATCCAGTTCCCAGTGGGTGAACCTCTCCTAAAGGAAAGCGTAGCGGAACAAATCAAGCCCTTACAAGAGCTTACTCTGGTATCCATTACCCGAAGCATGAGCCAAGTCTTCAAGAAAGGTGCAAGTAGGTCTGGTTTATTGAGGGCTACCTGCCCAGTATTTACGCAAGTGCTCACCAGGTGGACACTCCCCTAGTGGACCTGATGGAAAAATGGGACACATATTGGATTTAACCAATCACAAACAATACAAACAAAACACTCCCACAGTGACATCACAATCCCTCCTCTCTATCCTGGAGATAATTGGGAAGTAATCAAATTATCTCCCAGGACAGAGGAAAGACTCCATTAACCACATGGTTACAAAAAGACATAAAATTACACAATGTTACAATTACTACATAAAACATATACATGCAACATATCCCCAGATCTGAGTGCACATTATTATCAAATGGCGCTCAAATCACATACATACAGTTCAATCGCCATGGAGTCTTTTCTATAGTCTTTCGTTACACGAATAGGCTCCATGGCCTAGCTATCTGGGGTAGCACTACTGATATACTGAAAGTCCTGAACATCCTGGCAGAAACAGACAAATAAACCTTTCTGCAGGGTAAAATACAGCTATCAGCACAGGGGGCATAGTCGGAAGGCAGGAGGCTAGCCAGTAGTCCCCTCCAGGCACAAGTGGCGAAAGGCACTTCGTCACAAGCACTATCTACCACTGGAATTAGTGTAGGATACACCAATAATTGGGGTGCTGTAGGATCCGTGGTGGAACTGAATCCCCATATATGAGATTTCAAACTGTATTTGCACAATTGCGGAAGCATATAGCTTTTAAAGAAGCAATTATTTCACCCATCATGTGTGGATGACTGGCCTGAGGTTGTGGGAGGGGCTATAGACCTATAAAAGGGACTCCCCCCTTTCCCTACTTACCTTTGTTAGTCAGACGAATAGACTGCTAGAGGTCAGCATTTGCATGAGATCCACTTCCAGGTCATACAAGACGCCATTTTGGTTTCACCTTTGCTCCATAAGGTCCAAGCTGTGTCCAGGAATCCTGCAGCAGGGCTTTCCGTTAATCCAGTGGCTTTCTCTCCGGTCAGCATCACATTTGGTGTCTCAGGGACTCTCAAACCGTAAGTTGACCCACTTGTCGCGCCAGGATTAGTTCCCACGGCGTTCAGCCCAGCACGGGTCCTCACTTTACGGTTTCCATTTGTTTTGCACGGTTATTTCGTTACCTTATACTCACCTAGCTGTTCATGTAAAATCTGTTTAAAATCTGTTTTGGTTAAAAATCTGTTGGGTTAAAGCTACAAACGAAATACAATTTTTCGCCTACACACTGACCCCTAATGGTCTTTTGGTGTACTGCAGGCTTCTTAGACATTATCGCATTTCATGTACAAATCAACGAACCACTGCATTTTCACCTAGACACTGACCCCTACCGGTCATTCTGTGTACTACAGGCATCTCAGACATTATTGCATTTCATGTACAAACCAACGAACCACTGCATTGGTCACCTACACACTGACCCCTATCGGTCATTCTGTGTACTACAGGCTTCTCAGATATTATTGCATTTCATAAGCAAACAAACTAACTACAGCATTTTCGCTTTTATACTGACTCCTATCTGTCAAACGGTATACTACAGGCTTTTCAGACATATGGTTATTCCCCTCATAACATTCCCACTATAATTATAATTACACAATAACACTGCCTTACAACTCATGCTTGCTATGATAGCATTCCTGCATACCTGCCTACATAGGCATTTAGTTACATTTACTGACAATACGCATACATTTACCCAAGAATGCACATACTATTTAAGCACTATGCAGGATTCCAGAGTCTAATACGGAATGTTTGCACAGTTAAAATATAAGTCCTTCCAATTACGTATTTTCACATATTAGGTTATTCAGCTGCCAGTCATGGTTCCCTACACTCATGTTTCGGGGTACAGTTGTATTCCATATCACACATGATATAACACTCCTGACAAGTTAATTTCCTTCAAACAGGGGCATTACAAGCATACAACTAGAAAAGCTACAATTTCTGGGGAAATTGTGTGAAGTGTTCTTGCCTCCACCAGTAGTCTACAACTGGAGTGGGCGGAGTAACTGTTATCATTTATATAGCACATTTAATTGCAACGTTGTTGCACAGTTACATTAAACCATACATTTATAAAAACATTAGCAGGTGTTCAAAAGGCCCTATCTATGACATCACTTGCTGCTGCAGCCTGACACAGGTCAGAGTATTTTGGCGGTTGCCATCTTCAAACGGTCGTATCTTAAAACTATAACTCCTACAGTGAAGAGCTTTATATTGTGAGAATCACAAGACCCAGACCTACATTTTGATGCATAGTATGTCTCTGAAGTATTAAAATTGAAGGCACAGTCGCGGTTTAGAAATTGCACTTCAAATTTGAGCTTTGCAGAGTGAAGTTTCAATGAATGTCAATGGACGGCGTTGGTTGCAAACAAATGGTCATATTGTGAAAACTATCAGGACTACGGCTTAGCCGTTGACATGTTGAGTGGCAGCAGGGATAGCTGAACGTTTTGATATAAGATTTGTGTAGGTGGGCCTGAAAATAAGGGAGTGGTGGCAGTTTAGAAATCATGTCCTGATTTTTCGGCTTTTGCCAGCTCCCACTCTAGCTTTGCCATTCATTCCTATGGGACAAATTGCGCCAACAAGAACGATGATATTCCGTGAACCATTCGGCGAAACGTTCCACAAAGTAATAGCAATCCGATCGGGAACAATCTGCACGTTTTGGTAAATTTTGGTCTATGTAGTGTAAAAACTGTGGGAGGAGTTAGAATTGTAAATTTTTATATAATAATAATAATAATAATATAATAACTAGAAAAGCTACAATTTCGGAAATTGTGGCAAATCATTCACCCTCCACCAGTAGTCTACAACTGGAATGGTGAGTAACTGTTATCATTTATATAGCACATTTAATTTACAAGGTTGTTGCACAGTTACATTAAACCATACATTTATAAAACATTAGCAGGTGTACAAAGGAAGGCCCTGTCTACTTGATCACTTGCTGCTGCAGCCTGACACAAGGTCAGAGTATTTTGGCGGTTACCCAACTGTGATAGTATTTTTAGAAACTATAAATCCTACAGCGAAAGGAAGCTTTTATATTGTGAGAATCACAAGACCCAGACCTACGTTTTGATGCATAGTATGTCTCTTAAGTATTAAAAATGAAGGCACAGTCGCAGTTTAGAAATTGCACTTCAAATTTGAGCTTTGTAGAGTGAAGTTTCAATGAATGTCAATGGACGGCGTTAGTAGCAAACAAATGATTATATTGTGAAAACTATCAGGACTATGGCTTAGCCGTTGACATGTTTAGTGGCAGCAGGGATAGCTGAACGTTTTGATATACGATTTGTGTAGGTGGGCCTGAAAATAAGGGAGTAGTGGCAGTTTAGAAATCATGTCCTGATTTTTCAGCTTTTGCCAGCTCCCACTCTAGCTTTGCCATTCATTCCTATGGGACAAATTTCGCCACAAGAACGACGATATTCCGTGAACCATTCGGCGAAGCGTTCCACAAAGTAATAGCAATCCGATCGGGAACAATCTGCACGTTTTGGTAAATTTTGGTCTATGTAGTGTAAAAACTGTGGGAGGAGTTAGGGTAGCAAATTTTGCTATAATAATAATAATAATAATATATATGTGAGATAACATTAAGTGAGATGCTTGCTATGCAAGAACACTTAATAATAATATATATGTGTGAATAACATTAAGTGGTCTTGCCATGCAAAAGAACACTTAATAATAATAATAATATATATGTGAGATAACATTAAGTGGTCTTGCTATGCAAGAACACTTAATAATAATAATATATATGTGAGATAACATTAAGTGGTCTTGCTATGCAAGAACACTTAATAATATATATGTGAGATAACATTAAGTAGTCTTGCTATGCAAGAACACTTAATAATAATAATATATATGTGAGATAACATTAAGTGGTCTTGCTATGCAGGAACACTTAATAATATATATGTTATGTGAGATAACATTAAGTGGTCTTGCTATGCAAGAACACTTAATAATAATAATAATATATATGCGAGATAACATTAAGTGGTCTTGCAATGCAAGAACACTTAATAATATATATATGTGAGATAACATTAGTACTTGCTATGCAAGAACTTACTTAATAATATATATTATGAGATAACATTACAAGTAGTGCTTGTATGCAGGAAACACTTAATAATATAATAATATATATGTGAGATAACATTAAGTGGTCTTGCTATGCAAGAACACTTAATAATAATAATAATAATAATATATATGTGAGATAACATTAAGTGGTCTTGCTATGCAAGAACACTTAATAAACATTGGGACGGAGCACTTTGCTCTTTTGAACGTGCGTAACACACATATGGGTATTTGCTTTTAAATGTCTATATTCAATTTTCATACATTGTTTTACCCGTCCGGGATACAGGTATTAATACGACCAGTAAGGTATCTAATCATACTACCAGGTACATACACCTGCTCATGTGGTATATAAATACATTTTCTGTTTCCCCCTGGGTATATCCTTAGTGTACTGGCAATTAGGGACTATAGGTTTCCAATAGGTATTCTCCTTTCTTTGCATCTACGCCTGTCGTATAGTGGTCCCGCGAGGCCAACACCCCGCCTCAACGTTCGGAGGCAAACACCCACCGGGCCACTTGTGAGCTAGCCATCTCGCATGGTATGTAGAGAGGGCCTCACCTTTCACTCCCTTCCCCTTTTTTCTGGTTACAGTAACCAAGAGGCCAACATCCTGCAACTACGTTTGGTGGCCACAAAAATCCCCTCGCGCCATTGCATAGATAGAGCCTCTCAAGCCACTTGGCAACTAGCAGGGCCTCACCTGTCACCAAACAAAGGATTAATTGTTTTGCCATGCGGCTTTAGCTAGCAAGCCAGTACTAGCACACTGTTGGTTCATATAATAATGGCTATCTTCATATTTTTTAGTATGTATCAAGC